TGATGTCCCCTGCGAGCCCTCCTGTCCCCACGATCCCCACATAGAAGGCGCGAGGCTCCACGTGGCTGGGGAGGCGCGCAGCCATAAACCCCTTCGGCGGGCAGCAGGGACTGCGGAGGCGACGCAGCGCCCAGAGGGCAGCTGCCCTGGCCGCCTGGCTCCCCAGGATCTCGGGGAACTCCGCCCTGCAAACCACCCAGCAAGGTTCTCCCTTAGGCGCTCCCTCGCCCGCCCTGGAGCCCACCTGAACAGGGATTCGGGGAGAGGTCAACGGATTCCAGCCCGTTGACAGCCAGCCCGCTTCGGGATCCCCGTTCCGGACGCAAGTTCGCCTCCCGCTTCAGAGCGCTCCCCTCATCCCGGTACCCCAGCCCCGGAATCCAGCTCCGCCCGTCGCACAGGGAAAAACTGGCGGCCCCGCGCGGGGTAGCCGAGCCAGCCCCGCGCGCTTAGCAACCCTACCGCTCCGGCGAGGAGAAATAATTAAAAAGAAAAAGTTTTCCAGCCCAGGCGGTCAGACCGGACAAGTCCACCAGGCTCCCCGGCCGCGGCCGCCTCCCCTTCCCTCTGCTCCCCGCGGGGTCCTAGTGCCCGGCGCCACGGAGCCCGTGAAACCCCGAAGAACTGCCAGAGGCAGAGCAGCGAGAGGTGCCCCGCGGAATCGGCGGGGTCGCCCCGTGAACAGAGATAAAGACGCTCAATCACCGCGCTCCGGGCCTCTGCACACGGTGGTGTGCCCTGGGCGTATCTTCAAAACTGTTCTCTGCCTCCCACCCGCACCCCGGCTCCTTCTCCACGTCGCCGCCTTCCAGAAACCCCGATCCCGGACAAGACTGGTTCTAGCTTTTAAAGCGAGCGGGCGCCACAGTAGCTCGGAGACCAAGGCTGCCCTCCACCAACCCCCTGCGCGGCGGCCGGGTGCTGCTGGAATGCCGGCCTTTGGCTGGAAGTGGGTGTCTTGGGGAGGCTAAAGAAGGGGGGCCCGCCGCCGACCACGTGTGCGTGGGGGCGACAACTCGGCCGAGGATGGGGCCCCGCGTGCGGGTCACGGTCCTGCTCGTGGCTCAGGGGCCCGTGGGGGTT